TGCACTCTGTCTGAGCACAGGACTAGTCCCTTCCTGGGTGAAAGGACCGAGGGAATTCAGTGGAGGCTCAGTTCATGTGTGGGCTCTTCAAATGGACTTGGGGCTCTCAGTGCATCCACAGTCTTCTGCAAACTGGGTGCTCAGAATTTTAAGCTGTCATACAGTGACATTATGATGAACTGGTGGTTTGCTGGAGACTTCTGGGAAAGAGGCAGCATAAGCCAAGGCCAGAAGGCTCCGGGAACTGAGAATAATCCCAGCTGGCTAGAGCTTTGGTGGAAATAAGTACCAGCCAAGGTTAACAGGAAGGCCAGAGACAGGTGATGGAGAGGCCGTCCGTTGTGTGCCAGTGCTAAACTGTGGGATTTGATCTTAGCAACAGTGAGGGTCATTAAAGAATTGTCAACCGGGCAGTGACATGCTCTGACTTCTTCTTTTGAAAGGCCACTCTGTCTGCCACTTGAGGATTGGCTGAGGAAGGGAAGGGCGGGAGGCAGGGGCCATAGTAACCAGGGCCGTGGCTGATATCCAGGGCTGAAAACCAGGCAGCTCTAATAGGGATGGGCATTAGTTGGGGGAAGCAGATGGCTCACCTGCTTGGCTGCTGACCGAGAGGTCGGAGGTGTGAGTTCAGCCAGAAGAGCCTGAGAAGAAAGACCATGGAGACCCGGGGAGCACAGGTCTCCCCGGCACGTGTGAGGTCACCACGTGTTCAAGGTGACTCCATGGAAGTTGGTTTAATAGGGACGGAGGTGAGAGAGCCCACCAGAAACCTAATGAGGACAAAGGCTCGACTGGAATATCTTCCTCACTGTGAACTGAAATGTCATCATTAGGATGAATCCGGTGTTTCATGCTTAATATTAAGGATGAATTTCCTAATAGAAATGTGTGGCATTTAGGAGCATAGACTCCAAAATTCATTTCCTCGGGTTCAAATCACCATTTACTCACTGTGCAACCTTGGGGTATGTTTCTAGTTTGCCCCAGTTTCCTTATCTATGAAGAGGGCATGACAGCAATCATAGCTACTTAACTGTGTTCTTGAGAAGATTGATTGGCCACTGTAGGTGAAGGCTGTAGGGCAGTCCCCGGCATATCATCAGCTCTGATCTTATTAATTCATTCGCATGAAAGCCTGTCTTAGCATCTTCTTTTACTATGAAAGTACTCTGGGTATAAGAATAGGCATACACTCTTTTTTTAATTAAGAAATCATTTTATTGGCGGCTCTTACATCTCTTTTCACAATCCATACATATATCCACTGTGTTGAGCACTTTTGGACATTTGTTGCCATCATCATTTTCAAAACATTTTCTTTCAACTTGAGCCCTTGGTATCAGCTCCTCGTTTCTTTTTCCTTCCCTCCCTCATGAACCCTTGATAATTTCTATATATTTTTTTTCGTGTCTTACACCAACTGCTGTCTCCCTTCACCCACCTTTCTGTTGTCCGTCCCCCTGGGAGGGGGTTATATGTCGATCTTTGTGATAGCTTCCCCCTTACTCCCCGCCCCTTCCCTTACCCTCCTAGTATCGCCACTCTCACCACTGGTCCCGAGAGGTTCATCTGTCCTGGATTCTCTGTTTCCAGTTCCCATCTGTACCAGTGTACATCCTCTGGTCTAGAATGGGGGTCATGACAGTGGCGGGGAGGAAGCATTAAAGAACTAGAGGAAAGTTGTGTGTTTTGTCAGTGCTATACTGCATCCTGACTGGCTCATCTTTTCCTTGTGACCCTTCTGAAAGGGGCTGTCCAATTGACTAGAGATGGGCTTTGGGTCTTCACTCTGTGCTCCCCTTCATTCTCATGGATATGATTTTTTTTGTTTTGTTTTGGGTCTTTGATGGACTAGGCATGCTCTTGGTAAAGCAAAAAGCCACTAAAAAGATGGGAAAGAAAGAAGAGCCCCAACCAGCCTCCTTGCCATCGCAATGACGCCCACTCCTAGGGCAGGGGAGCTGCGCCCGTGGGTGTCGGAGACTGTCACTCTTTCCAGGAGCCGGAAGCCGCCTCTTTCTCCCGCGGAGGTGCTGGCTGGGGCTTTCAACTGCGCACCTTGCGGTTACCAGCCCTACTCAGCCACCACCATGCCACCAGGGCTCCGACAGACAGACAGACACGTGGCAGCGACAACACTGCAGGTGGTAATCATGTCACTCGTCCGTCCTTTGCAGCAGACATTGGTTACTCACAGCGAAGCGCTCAGCTGCTAACTGAACGGGGCAGGTGGGGCCACCAGCTGTGCAACTGGGGGACAGGTGCCGTCCCTTCTGGTCAAGGTCCCAACCCAGGGACCCCTGTAGGACAGTGCTGCTCTGTCCTATTGTCTCGCTAAGGGTTGGAATTGACTCCACGAGAACAGGAAGGACGGGCTCAGGGAGGAGCAGGGATCTGCCCAGGGTCTGAGCTAACACCTGAGCTGGGCCTGTGTGCATTAGGCACTTAAATCCTCAGGGAAAATGCTTCCCTTTGATAAACATGGACAGACAGAGAATAGCACACGCCTAGAGGCGGGGAGAAGATACTGGAAGGAGGCAGAAGGTGTAGAAAGAGGAATTGGGGTCCCCCAAGAAAACCTGACCTTCCTTCGGCTTTGTTAACCCCTTGCCAACCACCTAGGCAGATCTTTTGGAACTGACTAGTGCCGGCTCTCCAGCCTGGATGCAACCTGAGCTAGAAAAGAGGCCTGCCTCGCATTTGAGTTAATCATTTCTTAGCACCACCTTCCGTTGTCCGTGTGTAAATAGCCCGGCTATTTTTGCTGAAACCTGGAGCCAGGATGTCAGGCTGAGCAAATATTTGAGAGGCAGAAAGAGTTCTTTTGTGGACTGCATTTTCTAACACGCAGCTTGTGGTTGGCTAGAACCGGGAATTGGCACATTGTCAACATCAACCCCTCAAATTTCACCTGGCCGAGCCAGTCACAAGCAGCAGCTCTGTGTTGAATCAGGCCTGCCTGTTAGCCAAGCAAATGAGCTGAGAAGACCCCAGCTGTGAACCGGCCACCAGCTCCCTCCTGCCCAGGCTAATGAGAAAGGGACAGAAGAGGCGTGGAGACGTGCCACTGGCAGAACTCCCCCGTGTAGGCCGACCGGCTGTGATTAGGAGCTTCTCTGATCTAGGAATCCATTTGGGGTGTTGGGGAGAAGAAGGCATCTCATGAGAAAGACGGCCTTCACTGGAGAGGAAGGAGACTTCCATGGCCTCACCATGTCTCCCATTGTTGTTGTGCGCCACCTAGCCCGCTCCCACTCTCAGTGACCCCACATGAAAGTCGACTGCCCCGTAGAGTTTCCTGGGCGCTCTGTCATCTGTACAGCTCACCAGGTTTCTCAACCACCCAGTGGCTGGTGGGTTTGACTGTCGACCCCTCAGGTAACAGCCGGGCACTAAGCCACTGGGCCAAGAGCACTCCTTAAGCATCTTGTACCAGTTCCCAAGTAAGAAGCCCTACTAGCCCAGAGAATAACTTAAAAACATGGCCATCAAGCCACTTCTGACTCACAAAGTAGACCTGCCCTTGTGGGTTTCTGAGACTGTAGCTCTTTGCAGGACTAGAAAGCCTCATCTTTCTCCGTTGGAGCAGCTGGTGGTTTCGAACAGCTGACCTTGTGGTTAGCAGCCCAACACATAACCACCACCCCACTACGGTTCCTCCCCAGAAATGAATAGTCAGTATTATTTGGTTAATACCAGTTTACAATGTGCTAAGTACTCCTGTGGGCTGGTCCCAACAAAGTTGGAGTCATTTCTGCTCCACAGTCAAGAGAAGGTCCGTGGTGGCACCCATGGTTTGAACCTGTTACTGACTTCAAGTCCAAGGTTGGTGGTTTAAATACCCCACCCACCCACATCGCCATGGAAGAAAGGCCTGGCAATCCGATTCCATAAAGAGAATGCCCAGGAAAACCCCAGGGAGCCGCTGTGCTCCGCTGTGCGGGAGCTGCTGTGAGTGGGAATTGACCCAAAGGCACTGGGTTTGGTTTTTGTTTGGAGTCAAGAAGCGAGCCAAGGCACAGAGTGGTTCACTGACCTGCCCAAAGTCACACAGCTCAACGAGGATGTGCAGCTCAAACTCAGACTTGGAAACCTCATTCCACGAGGCCATTCTGCCTGCCAGGTAATATGCAAGAGGGCTTCCATTGTCTCCTCACTCTCATATGCCTATCTCATAGAGAGAAACTCTCACACCATGAGACGGTTGCTTGCAGGTTCCACCGTGGTCATCTGAGAAGGAGTGTTGTCCTGTGCCACTGTGAGACAGCACTATTTCTTCCGGAATCAGTCCACCCGTTTTTATTTGCACGACCTGTGTGGAGGAAACGGCTGCCTCTTCAAATGACCAGAAGCGTTAGTAGTCGTTCTAAAGAAGTGAAATCCATGGCTTCAAAAGGAGAGGCTTTGAGATCGTTAGGGCCTTGCAGGGTTTTGTAGCGTGAGGGCAGCACTAATCGAGACACCAGGAGAACATTTGGGGCAGAATCATACCACCAGGGTGCTTGCTTTGGGGAACGTGGAAGGGGCCGTCTGTCTGAAGTGGAGCTGGAAGAATCGATCAGCTTACTTGTCCAGGATGGTTTCAGGGAGAAGGGGGAGCTCCTTTGCCCTCAGTTTCTAGGCCCAGAGATGCATTCCAGGAAAGGATTAATTTTAGAATATGAAGGCATGGCCTTAGTCCTTCAGGATGAGAAAAGCCCACACCCACACTCAGGAATTTGGAGGCCCGGGAACCTGGCAAGTTTGGGAGACCTTGGGCTGAGGTGGTTAGCCCCAGAGTCCAGCAGCATACTCTCTCCAGAGGCCGCCCCGTGGCCAGTCCGCTTCCTCACACCGGCCAGTGGTCCTGCATCAGCACCTGGGGGAGGAGCAAAGGGGCACCCAGTCGGGCGGGGCTTTGGGGACTGGCAATGGGACCCGAGCAATGCGGTGCTCAGGGTCTCCATGCGGTGATTGACACCTGTGGCTCCGAACCCTGATGTCGGGGCACGTGGTCACAGATTTGTCCTTGCTTTTGCCCTTTAGAAAAAGGGTCCTCGTCCTGTAAAGTACGACCAGCGTGCACAGACAAAGACTATTTCTACACGCACACAGCCTGTGATGCCAACGGAGAGGTGGGTAGCAACGTCGTCTGGGAGCCCCTTTCCCCTGGTGGGCTGTCCTCGGTCACTGCGACAGTCAGCGGAGCTGGCCCCAGCTCCAGCCCACAGGTCTCCACGGTGACCCAAGGCCACCGTGTCGTCTTGATTTCTTCCTGCTGCTGGGAGGCTCCAGAGGCAGCTCTGACTAAGGGGAATTTACACGCCTTTCCGCACAGTTTAGATGCTAGGGATCCAAAGCCAGGCACCGTCTCTAGGAAAGCCTCGCTCTCGGAAAAACCTTAGTTTCAGCCTCTCCTGTCCAGTGTCCCACAGAGGCCTCCGTACAGAACCGGTCTTTCTTCCCCATCTCTGCATGCAGTCTCTGTACCTCGGGAGCCTGGGGGGTGCAGTCGCATTGGCTGCTAATCGCAAGGCCTAATGCTCACACCCACCGGCTGCTCCGTGGGAGAAATCAAGGTGGTCTGCTCCTCTAAAGAGTTACAGCTTCGGAGACCCCATAGAATGCACTGTGAGTTCGAATCCACTCCGATCTAGTGGGTTGGCCTTTGCTTTTTGGTTTCTATACCTAATTTCTTTTTACATCTCCAAAAATGGTTAGGTTTCGAACATATCCTACACTGACAAGGCCTCATTAAAATAACACAGAAACCCCTCTTCTCAAATGGGGTTCACACTCAATTCCAGCTGCCACGGAGTCCGTTCTGACGTGGGATTTCAAGACTAACTCTTGGAATAGCAGAGTAGCAGGCGCCATCTCTCTCCCGTGGCGTGGCTGGTGGTTTCCAACTGCGCTGACCTATGGTTAGCAGCCCAATGGGTAATCTTCTGACCACCCCGGCTCCTGCCACGGGTCTGCCCACTGCCATCGAGTCCCTGCTGACTCACAGTGACCTGTACGACAGGTGCCTCTGCTCCCGTGGGTTTCTGAGGCTGCAACACTGGGCGGGAGCACAAAGCCTCATCTCTCTCCCTCAGAGCAGCGGGTGGTTTCAACCTGCTGACCCTGCTGTTAGCAGCCCAACACGCAGGATTCCCATATGGTATCTGTGAGGGACCCTGGTCAGCCCACAAGGTGAGAAGCACAAGATGGCCTCAGCCCGTTTCCAGTCAGGAGTGGCTTTTGCAGCGTTTGTTTGACATATGCTCGATCTCGTGGGTTCTGCTTCAGAAAAAAAAAGAAGAAATCTTTCATGTTCTTTGCTTGGCGTCCTGCCTTTCATGTGCCTTCGACACGCTGGTCAGGGCCTGCCTGTTCGCTTGCGATCATTGTCCCCCTGGCTCTGCTTTTGTGAGTCGGCAAAAGGGATGCACCCCACTTCCGGGCTCCTGGAGAACGGCTGGCTTGTTCGGCCTCTGCCCCTTCCCTCCCCACCGCCCCAGGCTTCCTGCCTCAGGAGAAGACGCGGTGCCTGTGTAGTAGGAAGCGCCATTGTGTCCACAGACAGCCTTGGAGCGCCCACGGAGGCACCAGGCCTGGTGTTCTGTTCTGGGCACTCAGAGATGACTCAAACAGGCTCTCCCTCCGACGCCCCTCAGGCCGGCGTGGGGCAGCGAGGAGCAGAGGACGGGCTGACAGGCCACAGGCAGGCATGTTTGAGGGGGGGAGGCCTCCCCACCCAGCAGCCAGGAGAGCTCGGCTGTGTGTCCTGCCGGTCGCACCTGAGACTTTATTCTGGACCAGGGGTCCTCAAACTTTTAAAACAGGGCGCCAGTTCACTGTCCCTCAGACCGTTGGAGGGCTGGACTATAGTTTAAAAAAAACTATGAACAAATTCCTATGCACACTGGACGAGTCGGCTGCTAAGCAGGAGAGGCAGCGGCAGCAAAAACCCATGGCGGGCCGGATAAATGTCCTCGGCAGGCCGCATGTGGGCCGCGGGCCATAGTTTGAGGACCCCTGTTCTGGACTATCGCACAAACCTGGCTTTTTTTTTTTTTTGGTTTAAAACCAGGAAAGGTATATGACAGGGTTGTATTCTCTCACCATACTTGTTCAATCTATATGCTGAGCAAATCGAGAAAGTTTATATGAAGAAGAATGCTGTATCAGGATTGGAGGAAGGCTTATTAACAATCTTCAGTCTGTAGATGACACAACGTTGCTTGTCAAAAGTGTCGGGGATTTAGGCACTTGCTGTTGAAGATCCAGGATTACAGCCTTCAATGTGGATTACATCTCAACACAAAGAAACCCAAAATCCTTACAACGGAACCAGTAGATAGCATCATGATAAACAGAGAAAAGATTGAAGTCAGAGATTTCATCTTGTTTGGATCCACAATCAATGCTCATGGAAGCAGCAGTCAAGAGATCAAAAGATGCCTTGCATTGGGTAAATTTACTTTCTTTAAACTCTTGAGACGCTTTGAGGACTAAGGTGCATTTGACCAAGCCATGGTATTTTCAGTTGCCTCGTGTGTGTGAAAGAAGTTGGACATTGAATAAGGAAGACCGAAGAATATCTATGTGTTTGAATTATGGTATTTGCAAAGAAAATTGAAAGTACCATGGATTGGAAAAGAGCAAACAAATCTGTCATGGAAGAAGTACTGCTAGAATACTTCTTAGAAGTAAGGATGGTGAGACTTCATTCTCACATAGTTTGAACGTGTTACCAGCAAAGATCATTTCCTGGAAATTGGCTTTTGTTTTCATGCCCCCCTTTGGTGTGTGTTTTGTTGTTGTTGTTGTAATGGGGGGCATGAATCCTGCCCCTCTTCTCCCTGCTGGACACAACATAGAGTTGCATATCAGCCCTCTGCCTCTTGGTGCCCCACCCTCTCTTGAAGCCAGCTCCTGCCATCACCCTCATCCTCGCCTGTCCATGGAGGCTACTGAAAGGTCCCCTACTCCACAGAGCCCCCTCGCAGGAGACAGGCAGGCCTCGGGCCGCTCTGATCACAGGCTCCTCTTCAAAGAGAGGACAGTTGAGCAGAGCCGGGAGGTGCCAGCCAGGGCTCCTCACCCAGTGAAGGTTCATTAGACCTTGTTTCTTATGCTGCTGACCTGACAGGTGTCTGTCCTTGCTGCTGACAGAAAACATGGCATTCATACCCCCACTGTTAGATGGTGAGCTCCTTGCAGACAGGACCCATATCTCCTTCATCCCCGAGTCCCCAGAGCTGACCCAGAAATGTACGAGGCTGCCTGTATGCATTTGCTCTATGAAAGAGCAAAGATGCGCCACTTGGAAGGCCAGGGGGAACATGCTAGAGGCCCACTCTTTCCCAGGTGGAATAAGCCACCTCCACTCCGGCCCTTGCTGAGTTCTGGCATGTTCCCCAACTGCCGCTTCTGTGTTCTTGGTGGTAGTGGACTCAGAGCTTTCTCTGGGGACAGCTGGTCTCACAATTTTCTTTGTCACATGAGTCCTCCGTCACCCTGTCCCTCTTCACCCAGTCAGCACTCACCCTGCAGGCCTTTTTGAGCATGGCCCTGGGCCGGGCACTGGTTTGGGGGCTGGGGACCCATCCGCGACCAAGCAAAGTCTCCAGCCTTGGTAGAGCTTTGCTTTTCGCCTAGAACCCCTTTCCCTCCACCTCCTCCCATCTTCAAGTGGGATCCCAGAAGTCCCACACAGGCTGAGCCCGGCCTTAACCTTTTCTGCAGACGCAGCTCATGTACAAATGGGCCGAGCCGAAACTCTGCAGCGAGGATCTGGAGGGGGCAGTGAAGCTGCCCGCCTCGGGCGTGAAGACCCTCTGCCCACCCTGCAACCCGGGCTTCTTCAAAACCAACAGCAGCACCTGCCAGCCCTGCCCCTATGGCTCGTACTCCAACGGATCTGGTAAACCCCCTCACCAGCATGGCGTTCATGCCCATGGCACCCATGTGGGCAGACCGAGTGGGTGCTTGAGGGGCCGGCTGCACAGACTCTGCCCTTCCCCGGGAGGCAGTGAGGTCTGGGTTCAGGAGGAGAGTGGTCAGGGGCTGGCCCAGGAGTGGGCCAGAGTCAGTCTTGAGAATCACCCACCTCCCTTCTCTTTCTAAGGGAGACAATGTGGCTCAGGCTTGAAGGTACCCAGCCCACACCACAGAGACTCCCGCCAGTGGCAGGGGTGCGAGCTAGAGGTGAAAGGGGGCAGGGGGCAGGGAGAGGGGCTGGCTTAACCCAAATAGAACCTGCTGTCAGAATGTCCCTTGAGCCTGTTTGCTGTGACTGCACTGATGCTCAGCGCCATCTTTGCTTGGCTGCCCACCGCTGCTGGCCCTTGTCCGAGGGCCAGCACCTCCAGTCAGAGCGCCTGCTGAGGGTGTGGATCTTGTGGTTCCCCCAGACTGTACCCACTGCCCAGCTGGGACTGAACCTGCCCTCGGCTTTGAATACAAATGGTGGAACACGCTGCCCACCAACATGGAGACAACCGTTCTCAGTGGGATCAACTTCGAGTACAAGGGCATGACAGGTAAGTGCCCCTCCCCTCCCCCTGAGCCCAGCGGCTCCCTGCGCACCGCAGGTGGGAGTGGGGGTGGGCTCTTTCAAATTCCTACTCCATCAAAACAGACGCGTCTGAGAAAATCACGCCGTGTGTACCCAGGAAGGTGCCGTCGCTCCTGGGCATCTGAGTGGGCTTCAGTAAGGCCGTGGGAAAACTCTGAAGCTCTGGGCACGCCCCCAGAGGCCAGCCCGGGGATTACAGGCTCCTCGCCTGCAGGGGCCAGGGGCTAAGTAGCTGTGTGTGTCAGCGTTGCGCACCATCTCAAAGGACAGCGGCGCTGTCTCCATTTTGCAGAGGTGCACTAACGGTCTCCTGTCCTTCTCCAGGCTGGGAAGTGGCCGGCGATTACATTTACACCGCTGTGGGAGCCTCCGACAACGACTTCATGATCCTCACGCTGGTTGTGCCAGGATTCAGGTGAGGATCGCAAGGCCAAGCCCAGCGGAAGTCCACGCGGGCGTAGGCGCAGCCAAAGCCTGCACGTCTTGGACCCATGCATCTCTGGGCAGCGGGAACCGCGCGCTCCAATGACTAGACTGAAGGTTGGAGGGTCCAACCCACCTAGGGGCACCACAGAAGAAACGCCTGGCCATCTGCCAGCATAAATATTCGAGCCCAGCCAACCCGGGGAGCAGAGTTGGCCTTCGTGCTGCACCGGTTGCCCTGGGGCCGGATGAACTTGGCAGCAGCAGACGGATCTGGGTCAGGTGCTGTGGTCGCGGCAGAGGCTGCTCCCGGAGCTGCCTCTCATTTCCTTTGAAAACACCCGAGCAGAACAGAGAGGAGGGCCCAGGCTGCTGGGCCCCTTGCTGGGTCGCAGGTTTAGCTTCCCCAGCAGTCAGGCGTGTGCTACCTGAATCCTTCCTCCTCCCGGCACCAAAACGAAGCCACACTCACTGCCACTGAGTAGATGCTGACTCGTAGCGACGCTACGACAGGACAGGTTAGAACTGCCGCTGTTCTAAGACTGCAACTGGTGACGGGAGGAGAAAGCCTCCTCTTTCGCCCTCGGACCTGCTGGTGGTTTCAAACTGTTCACCTTGTGGTTAGCAGCCCAACGTGTAACTACTATGCCACCAAGGCACCTCCCTTCCAGCACCAGATAAGATAAAACATTTTAAAACAGCGTTACAAGTGAGTGCCCACGGCTCAGTCTCCAGGCCCTTCTCTGGGGGAGGGGAAAGGCAGCGATGCGTCTCCTGTGACATTTTCTGCACATGCCCATGTAGAGCCTATCTGGGGCACCATGCCAACAGAAGCAACTACAGGCGGTGCTGTGGTGGGGAGACATGGGGTGCTCAAACGTCACCCGTGCTGGCTAGGTGAGTCTGGCTGCATCTCCTGGCCTTCCTAGGCTTCAGGCTCCCCACCTGTAAAGCCAAAGGGGTGGACCGTCTAGGCTTAGAAGTGCACAGCCCAGCCTTGCAGAGAGGAGAGCCTCAGACTCCAGGGACACGGCTAGAGCCAAACATAAGGCCAGAAATGGATTTCCTGGGTCAAAGCAGACCAACTGCTCTGTCCAAGTGTGCGTGAGGATGAAGGGACCCACAGACTGGGCTCCTCTGTTGCCTTTAGGTCTCGCCACAAGGATGGGAGGGAGACGAGAAAGGTAGAATCCCTTTATGTTACAGATGAGGAAACCGGGTCAGGCCAGAGCTAGGTCAGACTACTAGGGTGGCAGAACTGGACGTCACCACACACCTCCCCTCACCCTCGGAACCCAGGCCTGCCCTCCGCCCCCTCTCCCCTCCCCCCTCCCCCAGCACACCTGTGGCTCCGGCTTGGGCTGTCTGATGAGCACAGTCTGGCCTGCGGAGCTGACTTGTAGCCTCTGTCCCCACAGGCCACCCCAGTCCGTGATGGCAGACACTGAGAATAAAGAGGTGGCCAGGATTACGTTTGTCTTTGAGACCATCTGCTCTGTGAACTGCGAGCTCTACTTCATGGTGGTACGTGCGGACGGGCTCCTGGGGACTCTTCCGAGGGAGGGCTGGCCCCTGGGTGTCAGCATCACCCACATAGAAAGGGCTCCCACTGAACCTCGGGGAATTCCCACGGATGCGTGGTCACACTAAGGGTGACCATGGTGCGTGCGCACTCTCCGACTGCCACCATGCTCCTGGACTTCTTTCTCCTTCCAGCACCAGAGAGGTCAAGCCCACTTTAAAACAGGGGTACAAGTGCCCACAGGGCGCTCTCTTTCTCTGGGGTAAGGAGAAAGGCAGGCATGGCTCTTCCTCACCACGTGTCTGTCCTGGGCTCAGGGCATGAATTCCAGGACCAACACTCCTGTGGAGACGTGGAAAGGCTCCAAAGGCAAGCAGTCCTACACCTACATCATCGAGAAGAATGCAACCATGAGCTTCACCTGGGCTTTCCAGAGGACCACCTTCCACGAGGCAGTGAGTCATTCCCTTGCCTCGATTCCCCCGTCCTCGGGATGTTCCTCAGGAGTGAGCTGGGGTTTCAAATCCCAGCCTCAGAAGGCTCTCAAGATGCCAAGCAGAGAACCGCCTAACACAGCCCTCTGAGCATCATCCAGTCTTGTCGGAAAGACTGACAGGCGCAGTGAGGCTCATCCATCCATAGCAGCCCCCCCACCCCGAGGACACCTGGGCCTGGCCCGTTCACTGTTGCTGCCCTGTTGTTGTTTGTAATAAGAATATCTGTGTGTGTGTGTGTGTGTGTGTTTTCCTTCACTTCAAGGAATATGAGCTCATTACAGGAAACTCAGAAAAAAGAAGAAGAAGACATGAAATCACCCCTAGTCCTACTGCTCATTACCAGCCAGATGTCAATGGGTCAGGTCTTAGGTTCTCTGTGACCATCAGTACCACAGGGAGATATACTGCTGTGTGGGAAAAGCAGGCCTTTCCCTTGTAAAAGGAAAATGATAAAGTTTTTGTAGAATATTCCGTAGACAGACTTTAGTCCTGAATGAATACCTCTCCCCCCTGTTACAAGGAAAAGACCAGCGTTTTTCACATCACAGTATCTACTGACCATTTCCCTCAGGAGGCGTATCCCCCATTTCAAGTGGCTCGGTCTCATTTACAGTGACACGCGTGCACGCTGGAGTCACTGCTCGGTGGGTGGGGCAGTAGCACGGGCCTAAGATCTCTCCGAGGTACTTGCCGTGGGATGAAAAGGACTCCCTCTTGGCTTCCATGTCTGCAATGCTGCTCTTTTCTGTCCCCAGGGCAGAAAGTACACCAGTGACGTGGCCAAGCTGTACTCCATCAACATCACCAACGTCATGGATGGGGTGGCCTCCTACTGCCGCCCCTGTGCCCTGGAAGCTTCGGACATGGGCTCCTCCTGCACCTCTTGCCCTGCTGGCTACTATATTGATCGAGGCTCGGGAGCCTGCCACTCCTGCCCCTCAGATACAATCCTGAAAGCCCACCAGCCGTACGGCATCCAGGCCTGCACGGCCTGTGGTCCAGGGACGAAGAGCAACAAGGTGCCAGTGGTCTGCCAGGCTTTCTCACCACCACTCCCCCTTGGATCTCCTCTGAGGGTGCCAGGTCCTAGGGCGGGGCCCTTGGGGGGCTCTCCATAGTATTCCCCCACACCCTGGCCATGAAGGGAAAGGTGGTTGCTGTGGGAGTTTCCTTCCAGGGTCCAGGCCTCCAGTCCTTGCCAAGTCTCATCTACAGGAGCTGGGTAAGGGAGATCTGGGACCATCTATCTGCTCAGGGGCCTGAAGGGAAGGAAGAGTGGGATCCGGGGCTGGAATCCCACTTAGTCCAATCCAGCCTGTTCTCGTAGGGATTTTCCCTCTCTTCTTTGGGAAGTTGGCCCCACCTTTGCTGAGACAGACATGAATGGGTGGATCTTGCTCTTCCCCACCCCAGTGGTTTCTCCACTGCACAGTGTGAAGACCCCTCTGTAAAGTGGGAAGGGAGTACTGCCACCCCAAGAACTCTCTGCACCCAGGAGAGCCCATAGGACTGAAAGCACTCCGCGCAGAACGCTTTCCAATGAATTTGTCTTTTACTGGCCACAACCGCATGGAGGCACATTTGCAAGCCACCGTTTACAGTCTGCAAATGATGCGTGTTTGGTTCTGCTGCGCGGTAGATATGATCATTCTGCAGACCCTGGACCTCTTTCAGGACACCGGCTTCAGCCACAGCGTGACTTCCCTGGAGCGCCCTCTGCTGTTCCGAGAGGGTGGGACCAGTGGAGTAAGGCTGCTGATGAAGCCAACCAGTACTCACTGCCTCCATCTGGAGTTGATGCCAATCACAGGGATTCTGTAGGACGGAGTAGAACTGTCCCCGTGCGTTTCTGAGACTGTAACTCTTAAGGAGAGTAAATAAGCCCTGTCTTTATCCCTTAGAGTGGCTGGTGATTTTGAACTCCTGGCCTTGCAGTTAGCAGCAGTCCAACTTGGACCTTAAAACAGAGCTGGGAATGGGATTGGGGGAATCAAGCGGCTCTTGAAGTCCAGCTTGCTACAGAGAGCCTGAGAGAGAGGAAGCCATGTTCATTCCAAACGGGGGCAGTGGGCTGGGGGTGGCAGTGAGGGCTTGCCCTTTCTGTTCTGCTGTCCTGGGCACTTTCTTATCTTAGTACCGTACTGTCTTCAGCTTGAAAGTCAGAAGGGCTGTTTTGTATCCTGAGTTGTTTGCTGCCATTGAATTGGCTCCGACTCAGAGCGACGAGAGAGAGAGAAAAATGTTACCCAGTTCTCCTCCCTAGTCGCCAGCCTGGGTGTGCTCAGGGCGTTGCTGCAGCCACAGTGTCTGCTGGCTGCTGACTGCCTTCTAGCCCAGGGACTGGACACCGGCTCTGTATCAGATGGGGTTCTGTTCTGATTCCAGGGGTTTGCACTGGTTGATCTTAGGAAGCAGAGTGCCAGGCCTTTCTTAGTCTGGAAGCCCCTTTAAACGATGGTGGCCCTGCAGGTGCTTGTCTTAGTCTGGAAGCCTCTTTAAACCATGGGTGGCCCTGCTGGTGTTTGAAATATCAGTGCCAGAGTTTCCACCATCAAAACCACATGCAAGCTACCACAGTGCAACCATCGACAGATGAGTGGCGGTCCATAGCCCAGGCACTATATGTGCCCATTACCACCAAGGCTATCAACTTTGACTACACCGCTACTAGAAAATACTAGGTTTGGGTTTATATATCATGTACATCCAAATAATTGAATGACAAACCATACAAATCTCACTGACCCCTGATTGACTTCTTCAATGGCACTCCACCCACCCCTCGGTCCTTACTTCCCTCTGGCTGGGCCAGGCTGAGGAGCATGACTGATCCTATCCACTGCAACCCCTCAGGGGTCCAGTGGCCAGCTGGCTGACTGGAACCTTCTGCCCACAGATCCACTCTCTGTGCTTCAACGACTGCTCCTTCTCCGCCAGCTTCGCAGGCAGGATGTTGGACTACAACTTCTCAGCTTTGGCACACCCTATCTCCCTCTCTGGGGGGGCCAGCTTCACCTCCAAGGGCTTGAAATACTTCCATCACTTCACCCTGAGCCTCTGCGGGAACCAGGTAAGAGGTGCCAGGGTTGACGCCGTGAGAAAGGGCAAGGCTTGAAAGGCACTGCTAGGACAGAAAGACATTGGGGGCAGCATGGGCGTTGGGAGGTCAAAAGGTTTCATTCCCCCCGCCCCATTTTATTGGGAATTCTTACAGATATGAGAGCAATCCATAGTTCAATTAGGTCAATCATGATTGTACAATTGCTGCCACCACCATTTTCAAAGCATTTTCTTTCTCTCTTGTACTCTTTGATATCAGCTCCCTTTTATCCCTTTCATTATGATGATGATCGTATATTTTAGATGATGATTATGTTTCCTAAAATGAAATCATTTGGATTACAAATATTTAGGAATCTTTCATGTAAACAAAGTATTCATTTTTTCCTACCATCCCTTTACCGTACTTTCCACAAACAGCCCACTCCCATGTAAATATCAAATATAAGCATCTAACGCACATGACATATGTATTGTGGGGGGCTTTCTCCTTTTGTAAACATATGGTGTCCACATTATTTGCATCCACATCCCTTCAAATGGGGAAGGTTTTCAAATTGGTTTTGTTTCCTCCCCTTAAAAGCAGTCTTTGGTGATCGTGGCACTTGTTTTCCCAAGGCTAAGTAAGCAGTTTGAAGTTCACCTGCAAGAAGCCCTAGTGGCAGAGGGTGTTAAGCTGCTAACTGTAAGGTTAGCAATTCAGATTCACCAGCTGCTCCCAGGAGAAACACAGGCTTTCTACTCTCATAAAGAGTTACCATCATATGACAAAATGCCCATTTATAAACTATCAAGGGCTCATGGGGGAGGGGGCAGCGGGGAGGGAGGGGAAAAATGAGGACCTAATGTCGGGGGTTTAAGTGGAGACAAAATGTTTTGAGAATGATGTACAAATGCGCTTTACACAATCGATGTGTGTGGATTGCGATAACAGTTGTATGAGCCCCTAATAAAATGTTTAAAAAAAAAAAAAAGAGTTACCATCTTGGAAACCCACAGAGGCAATTCCACTGTGTTCTATAGGGTCTCTGTCAGAGCTGACTCAGTGGCAGTGAGAAACTCACCTCCATGCATCTTTGAAAAGTGGCTTGAAAAGCTTTGTTGAGACAAAGTGAGTTGGTGTGCAGAGTGGAAAGATGCAGTTAGGTTAAAATTTAACATCTTCCCATTTGATCTTCCTTTTGATCCATTCTAATTTGTTCTGCTCTTCCCGATGAAGGTTTGTTTGTTTGTTTTTTCATTAAAAAGTAACATCTTTATTTTATTTTATTGGGGGCTCCTACAGCTCTTATCACAATCCTTCCATCCATCCATTGTGTCAAGCACATTTGTACATTTGTTGCCATCATCATTCTCAAAACATTTTCTTTCTACTTGAGCCCTTGGTATCAGCTCCTCATTTTTCCCCTCCCTCACTCACAAACCCTTAATAATTTATAAATAATTTATAAATAATGATTTTTTCATGTCTTACACTGACTGATGTCTCCCTTGACCCACTTTTCGGTTGTCCGTCCCCCAGGGAGGGGGTTAAATGTAGATCTTTTTTATCTGTTCCCCCTTTCTCCTTCCATCTTACCCTTACCCTCCTGGTATCGCTACTCTCATTATTGGTCCTGAGGGGTTTAAATGTCCTGGATTCCCTGTGTTTCCAGTTCTTATCTGTAACCGTGTATATGCTCTAATGATCTAGCCAGATTTGTAAAATAGAATTGGGGTCATGATAGTGGGGGTGGGGGAGAAAGAACTAGGAGAAAGTTGTATGTTTCATGGGTGCTATACTGCACCCTGACTGGCTCGTCTCTTCCTTGTGATCCTTCTGTAAGGGATATCCAATTGTCTACAGATGGGCTTTGGGCACAACTCCACACTCCCCTTATTCACAATGGTATGATTTTTTGTTCTGAGTCTTTGATGCCTGATACCTGATCCCACTGATGGAGGTTTTTTAAAATCTATTTTACTTTGTTACTGTTGTTAGTTTTTTGTTTTATTCTTTTTAAATGTTTTTCTGTATGTGAAAACCAGGAGAGGTAGATCTATAGAGAGAGTCACTGGATTACTGGTTCCTTGGGGTATGGCAGGGGAGGTTGGGGATAAATGAACGGGAGTTAATAATGACAAGTACAATTGTGGTGATTATCCAACTCTTTCTTGATGATGGAACTATTGGATTATGTGATATGTGAATTATATGCCAGTAAAACTGTTAAAAATATCTTATATATCTACATATTAAAATAAATATTATATATATATATATATAAAAGCAACAACAATAAGGCAAAAACAAAACTAAAAAAAGACAAGGTGGCCATATAACACAAACCATCGATCGTTTCATGAAGCTGGAAATACTTTGGATCCAAGAAATGTAATGGGACTAGATTACAAAACAAGCCACAATTAGCAGTTGGAACTTTAGGTTCAAACTTAAAAAAATAAGAATCCCAGGCTCAGCTGCTAATTGAAAGGTTAGAGGTTTGAACTACCCAGAGGCACTTCAGAAGGAAAGTCCCACAAGCTGTTTCCCAAAACACCAGCCGCTGACAACCCTAGCAGAAATCCGAGTTGGCTCCCAGTTCCACTCTGCTCCACCAGCACTCAAAGTTGACTCCCCAACAACTGGCTTGTGTTTGGGGGGCTTTCCAGTGTTTAGTGCAAGACTCGGGGGTGGTGGCCAGTCCTGTACACCACCCAGCTTCTGCCTGTCTTCTGCAGCATGCAAAGAAACAGGCACATGTTTATATAGAGAACGTGGCGAGAAATTAACTAAATTCAACTTCGCCACACATATTTTGGACATGTCGTCAGGAGACAGGACCAGCAGGGCTTTGTTCCGTTGAGCACTGGGACGCTCGGAGAGCACTGCCTGTGGTTCTTAGAAGCGCACCGGCCTATTGTGGGCTACAGTTTGAACTGCCCGTCCCGGGTCCGCAGCTCAGACCCACCCACCAGTGGCTCTAGGGGAGAGCTGCGGCTGTCTGTTCCCGTAAAGGCTTTGAAGTCTAAGAAGCCCACGGAGCAGTTCTCTTCCTACGGGGTTGCTGTGAATCGGAATCGACCCAGTGGCAGAGGGCTTGGTGTGAGTGCTGCGTTGTGTCTGGAAGCCGTTCGGGAGGCTAGCATGAAGCCTCAGAATGTCAGGCAGCGTGACTCGGGATTGAACTTGCCATTCCAGGGCAAGCCCCATCTAGAGACAGTGGCGGCGACATAGAGATGGGAAGCTGGGGAGGCTGTGGCTTCTCTTTTTCTTTCTTTCTCTTCTCAGTCTCTCTTTTCTCTTTCATTCTTTTCAGTTCGAAAACGAAAATAGCTGTTTTATTCTAGTGTGAAGGTCTCCTTCTGTTCCCGAGCTCTATATTCATCTACTTCCCACAGTCTCGGGGACAGGAGCGGGGAATGGAAACGCCAGCTTTCACAGCACACATAAGTCCATCTGGAATGAAATCCATGACATTGGAAAAGTTATGTTCTGAGTTCTTTGTTGTTGCTGAAGGGGCCTTGCTGGCATAGGCGGTTACAAGTGGGCTGCTAACAGTCAGGTCAGCGGTTCGCAAACCACCAGCCGCTCATGGGTTTCTGATCCGGTAAAGCAGTGGTTCTCCACCTTCCTAGTGCCGCGGCCCTTTCATACAGTTCTTCATGTTGCGGTGACCCCCCAACCATAACGTTGTTTTCATTGCTACTTCAAAACTGTCATTTTGCTACTGTTATGAATCACCATGTAAATATGTGATATACAGGATGTATTTTCATTGTTACAAATTGAACATAATTAAAGCATAGTGATTAATCCCAAAAACAATATGTAATTCTATATTGTGAAATATTTACTCCTAATTACAAATAAATGAAATTTTGTTTTGAAGCATGGTGTCCTATGTGGACGTATCTGCCTGTGGGTGGACACACCTGGAGACAGAGGAGCGGTGTCTCAGTTCCTAAGACCATTGGAAATATGTGTTTTCCGATGGTCTTAGGCGACCCCTGTGAAAGGGCCATTTGACCCCCAAAGGGGTCGAGACCCACAGGTTGAGAACCACTGCTGTAAAGAGTTACAGTCTCTGAAACCCACAGGGGCAATTCTACTCTGTCTTATCAGGCACTATGCACCAGAATTGACTCGATAACAGTGTGAGTGAGTCCTGGTTGTTAGCTGCCACAGAGTCAGCACCCCCTGCCCCCCCCCCATGCAAATAAGATCACACCATCCAGTCCATATGGTCTTCGCTGGCTGATTTTTCGAGAGCAGATCTGGAAGCACCCCCGAAGTCTCTTTGACTTCATATTGGCCTGCACATGGCTGGTGGCTGAGTAGGAAGCACTTTGGTTGGAACTGAACCTGCGCCCCCTCAGGGGAGACGAGAATTCCACCACTCATCCACCACTGCCCCTGACAAATGTTTAGTCCCCTTGGTTTGAGACGCCTGACAAATGTTCTCATCCGACCAGACCAAGTGATACCTTAGTGTTCCTGAAATGTAATGTTCTTGAAGGAACAAGTATTTCCTCTCCCATCGGAGCTCAAGGAAGAGGGAGTCTCGATTCCCATCTCCTCTTTCAGAGTTCTGCACAGTGAGGGGATTAAACACCGGAGGACAAGTAAGCATCCTGTTTAGTACCTGTATCTCTCTTTGTGTAATGGAGTTGGCTCTGATTGTCCAAAGTCGGCAGGGGCTGGTCAGTAGGACTGCCTTAACACCTGGAGGTCACTGTGTGACAACATGAGTGGAGACACAGGGCCGAAGGGCCAAACTGACCATGCCAGAGGCTAGAACAAACACCACAGAGCAGCGACATATGTCTGAAAAAACATATTTGGGCATCAAGGAAGAACCTTGAATTTGCCACCTGCTCACATTGGGCTCCCAGGGGAATCCAAAAGCCCAGGAGCCCTTGCCAAAGTTCCGGAAGCCTGATTTTCTGCTTTTTTTTTTATGTTTAAAAAAAAATCATTTTATTATTATTTTTTTAATCTGTTTTGTGATGAGATCTGGGATGAATCATTCCACTGCAGCCTACCATTGGAAAGCTGAACTTTCAGGTGGGAAAAAACCCTTCCCTTTTCCCCTTTGGGAGTTTTCCGGGGATGACCTTTTGATTACCTTGTACTCAAACAGGGTAAAAAGATGTCCGTTTGCACCGACAACGTCACTGACCTCCGGATTCCTGACGGTGAGACAGAGTTCTCCAAGTCCATCACCGCCTACGTCTGCCAGGTGGTCATCATTCCCCCCGAGGTGACAGGCTACAAGGCTGGGGTGTCCTCACAGCCCGTCAGCCTCGCCGATCGCCTCATTGGTAATTAGCCAGTGCCCCCACCTGCTTTGAGGCAACGTGTGCATGTATGTGTGTTCTGTCACGTGGAGGTGGGAGATACATGGCCCCAGATGAGGGGTGCAGTCTCTTGAACTCTGTCTTCTGCTCCACTTGGGGTGGCAAGCGCCCGTGCCCTCTGACGGGCACTTCATGAGCCACCTGGGGAAGGGAGGGTGGGAAGTGGGGTTGGATGTTGACAGGGGTTGCCAGCTCAGGTAAGCAGTGAGAACTAAAGAGGCTCTGGTTTGATTCGGCAGGGGTGACAACCAGTATGACTCTAGACGGAATCACCTCCCCAGCTGACCTCTTCGCCCAGGAGCCCATGGCCATACCGGATGTGATCTTCTTTTACAGGTGAAGATGAGAGGCGAGTGCAAGCGAAACCGCGCTCCCCTACAATTTTGGTCACACCCACCCTCTCTGGCCACCTGCACAGCCAGCCAGGGCCCGTCTGCTGCCGTCTAGCAGTGAGAGCTAAAAGCTGGACGCTCCCTGACCCCAGCTCTGGGGCGAGGCGAGGGAGGGTTCCTGGGTGGTCTGTGGCAGCCTTCCTTCCAGCGTCTGGAGGCTCCTGGCTGCGTGGGTGTGGGTGCCTCTCCTAGGCTGTGTCTGTCTCCCCACTGCTGCTCCCTCCAACAATCAACCAAGTCCCAGTGGCCCCAGGAAGGGAATTGCTCCTGGTGGACTTCTCCACCTGGTGGCTGCCCAGTTACCCAGCTGCGGGCCTCTCTCCCGTCCCCTGCAGGTCCAACGATGTGACCCAGTCCTGTAGTTTTGGGAGGTCAACCACCGTCCGCATCAGATGCAACCCACTGAAACCTGCCTCTGGAAACCTGTTGCTGCCCACGTAAGACAGAGACGGCGTGATCATGGGGCGCAAAGGCTCCCTCCCTGGGACTCATTCATCCCGGGACTTGAGATGACTGAAAGAGGAGGCAGGAGAAAGCCTTTGGGATCCATGGGTAGCTAGGCTCTTGCAGGCACGGTCCTGAGACCTAGAGGAGTCCAAGACCCCTCTTCTGGGGCAGGTGCCCAAGCCACGATGGCGGCACCTGTGGGGAAGGCTGTTGCCCCAGATGGTTGCCCGAGGGCCTTCCCTCCAGGGCCCTCTGTAAAGGGTGCAGGAAAGCAGGGCCAGGGTCACTACGGGACACCCTCTGGGCTTCCCTGGCGGTGCCTGGGATCAAGGGTCAGAACCACGCAGCCAGATGGCTCAGGGACACAGGATTTTACTGAGCATCTCCTTCGGCTGCTTCCTCCTTGAATTAAAGGGTATAGCTTGCTGTGTTGGAATGAGCCCAGGCCCTGGAATCAGAAAGAACTGGCCTAGAATTCCAGCTTTGCCAACTGCTGAGCTGGATGACCCGAGGCTACTCAATGTCAGGAGTTCCGGTGGCCTGGCCTTTATCCCAGGAATAGCATTCTCCCCCCTGCTCCGTAGCACAGTGATCTTAGAGACCCACTAAGAGCCAGATGTGAAGCCCCTGTGGTCCATTTCCTACCCATGTTCTCCTGGACGCGTTTCTCTCCTCCAGGCGTCCTCTTCCTGATCTGTCCTTTTCCTGACTGCCTGGGATTAGGATTAGTCAAAAGGCTGGGGGTGGGGGGGGTGGCGCGGGTTCTGGTACCACAGGAACTTTGATACCACAGCTCGCCACAATTAAAAGATCCAATTCTGGGTTTATACCTGAGGGCACCAAGTCAAGAATTCCTGCACCTCTTTGACCCCAGACTCCCTGCCCTGGTTAACATCTTGAGAGACCACTGTCTTAAGGAAGACCATTTGGGAAATTGCTTCCACCAAGGGAAGGGGTTGGGGTGGCAGTGGCTGGAGAGCAAAGCCAAAGTTCAAAATGTTGTCCCCGTTCTTAATGTTTTCCTCGTCACCAGTGACGACCGTAACAGATACCCATGACCTGAGGGTCCCTTCCAAATCACACCTCAACCCCAAGTCACACCCCGATGCAGGGGGGAGCCTCCCGCGGGAGTGCCCCATGTCCGAGGGGAGAGCGTCAAGTGCATGCTCAGCATGCACCTCGTATTAGACCTCATCTCCTGTCAGCAGAGAATGGGGTGGGGGTGTCTGCACAGGACCATCCCTGGGCATCAGGGCAAGAAGAGAGGGCAGCCTGCGTGGAGGACTTTGGGGGGGGAAAGGATGCATCAGGCAAGCTGAGGAGACAAGGCTCCAACCGCATCTTCCCTGCCAGGCACTCTCAGGCCCCCTTTCTGTCTTGCTAGCTTGTGCTCAGACGGGACCTGTGATGGCTGTAACTTCCACTTCCTGTGGGAGAGCATGGCGGCATGCCCCCTCTGCGCCCCCGTGGACTACCATGCCATCGTCAGCAGCTGTGTGGCTGGGATCCAGGTAGATGTCTCCCTGGTTGTGGGCTTGCTGCGCGACGCCCCGAGAAGGGGGTGGGTGAGCTCTCTTTGTGTTTCTCCGGCAGAAGACGACCTATGTGTGGCGTGAGCCGAAGCTGTGTGTGGGCGGCATCTCCCTGCCCGAGCAGAAAGTCACCATCTGCAAAACTATCGATTTCTGGCTAAAAGTGGGCATCTCTGCAGGGACCTGTACTGCTATCCTGCTCATCGCCCTCACCTGCTACTTCTGGAAAAAGAACCAAAAGTACGTGGTGGGGTGTTGCTGTTTGGAGCTGGGTGCAGCTGGATGGCGGAGCTGGGAAGAGACACAAACACAAACCCATTGCCCTCGGGTCGATTCCCGCTCACGGCAAGCCTGCAGGGCAGAGTAGGAGTGCCCGTAGCTTGCAAGGCTGTCACCTAAATGGAGGCAGACCACCACATCTTACTTCCGAGGGAGGGGACATCCAAGAGCAGACGTTTCGGGGCCTTTTCTCTGGAGGTGGCCATCGACTCTCCCTCTGACCACATGTCCACTGTGGCCATCATTATCCGGTACCCCTACCCCGCAGCAGTGGGTGAAGAGCTGTTCTCAAAAGAAAAGCCAAGGACACCTGTTGTCCTTAACAAAAAACACTGATTTTGTCATTACACTATTTCTAGTAAGCTTTGACACCACAGAAGCTTGGGGGGCGGATGCTGCTGAACCCTTCGCCAGCATTCCTTTGCTCTACCCCAGCTCCAAGATCACGTTGCTATGCCTCCCTCCGCTGGTTCCTGACTCCTCTGGGCATGGGACTGTTCACAGGCCAGCATCCCTTCCCCACTCCTCCTCACTCCCACCGTCTATTCAGTGGCTTCTCTCTCCCGCCCGTCTGTCTGTAGACTAGAGTACAAGTACTCCAAGCTGGTGATGAACGCCTCCCTCAAGGACTGCGACCTGCCCGCAGCTGACAGCTGTGCCATCATGGAAGGCGAGGACGTGGAGGATGACCTCATCTTCACCAGCAAGAAGTCCATCTTTGGCAAAATCAAATCACTGACCTCCAAGGTAAGGGGCCTGGCCAGGGCCCTGAGGTCACCCTGGAGGGCCAGAGAAGACACCCACCACTTGCTGGAGTGTGAATGCCCCCCCCACACCG